GTAAAATAATTATGACTAATATTAGATCAAAACCTAGGGTTAAGATGACAAAGCTACGAACTTTAATCAGTGAGCATGTTTAGATGACCAGTATATGCATGATTTAATTCTAATAACCTTTTGGATTAATAAAATTGAATATTACATGATACAACCTGAACAATGAACTTAATGATAATTAGTGGAATGATGATGAAATTAAAAGTCTTTAGAGTCATTAGTATTCGCGTACATACCAAATATACAAATTATATTTAGGAATTAGTGAATAATAAATAAATAACTATCGGACATGGTAATTAATCATGATTTTTGGATGTAAAACAATTTAAACCAAAGTATATGAAATGATTCTTTTCAAATCTGTTTATCTTGTTAGTTTAGCTATTGATTTACTTGAGATTTAATAATAACCCCCCCCCCCCCCCCCACCTATTGCTTCGTTTATTTAGTATAAGCTATAATTAAATATTCTAATATTAATTCATTACCGTTCCTAAGTATTCGATACCATTTCTTGCCACAGCTATATTATTTCACAATTAGATACACTTTCTAGTGTATGGTAACTAGTTGAAATAGAATCAAATTTATAAATTTAAAGTTAGTACATAAAATACACACCTCTATCACCACCAACACCACTATCGCTCCACCAACACTTGCGCCAACTCCATATCCGTCACGACCTCCTCCACCACCACCTTTTCCTCTGCCACCAACACCACCTCCATCTCCTCAGCTGCTATCATCACTACCAGCAACTCCATTGTTGTTGCCATCGCTGCCACCACCACCTCAACGTGGTAAGTTGTCTATGTACATATGGTTTGTTTGTTTAATATCATTAATGATTATTGTGGTTTAATATCATTTATACAATATGCATACTTTAAAAAAAACAAACAATAATATTTAGTCTACCTTTTTATTTTCAAATGTGGTTTCTAGGGTACATATACTTATTTTCAAAAACAAACATGTAAATATATTCAATCTTCTTTGATTAGGTTAAGGGGTATCATGACAACATCTTCACTAGTGAAGAACATGTCATATCATCAAAGTAGTGGCTCTACAATAAGTTTACTAGCTTTAGGGGCAGTGTTTATTATATATATATATATATATATATATATATATATATATATATATATATATATATATAGAGAGAGAGAGAGAGAGAGAACTCTCAAACACCCCCATGAATATCCGTGAAGAGCACCACTCCATAACATAATTACTATACTTGGAGGTGATGTTCACTATTGAAAATCGCATCTATGTAAGATTCTTATTAGTGAAAATATATCCCTTAGCCTTAGCCTTAAACCTCCAAGCCAGCAATACTCCACGTCAGCAATATTTATATTTGGATCAAAACGTCAACACATGTAAGTTCTACTTACAAAATTTTAAGTTACTTTAGAAAGTACCTTAATAAACGTCTTTTTCATAGTGACGTCACATGGAGCTACATTGGTTTCTAAGTCCATATTTGCTTTACTTATTAATCAATAATCATGCATAGAAAAAATGCATCGCCCAAAATAGGTTTTAAAGTCTAGCTTTAATTTATTTACCGCATTTATATTATTAAAAACATCGTCAAATGAAACACTAATAACTTTTTAATGTAAGTTACAAAAACAATTCTTTTAACCGGCAAACTATCTAAAACTACATTGTTGATTTTGGTATGAACATGAATACGAAATGTAGAGAGAGAAAGAAGAAGAAGAGAGATGGAATCTATTTTATTATTATTTCTCCGATAACTAACTGATTACATCTTACAAGTAAAGTGGAACCTTAATACAGGTTAATCACTAACAAACTCGATATAGAAACTTAACCAACTATCAATCACGTGATAAACACGTGAAGTTATTACCAACACCCCCCCTCAAATTGGAGAGTGTTGAGCTCCCAATTTGTTTAATAGAAAATGATGTTGCTTGCTTGGTAATGATTTTGTGAATAAATCTGCAAGTTGAAGATCAGTAGGGACATGTTTTAAGGATATTAAACCATCTTGAAGTTTTTCCCGGACAAAATGGCAATCTAACTCAACATGCTTTGTCCGTTCGTGAAATACAGGGTTCTTGGCAATGTGAATGGCAGCTTGACTATCGCATTTGACTTCAACTGGAGTAACATTTGGGACAGTAAATTCATGCAATAAACGAGTCAACCATGCCAATTCAGCTGTCACTCTTTGCATGCTACGATATTCTGCTTCTGCAGAGGATAAGGAAACTGTAATTTGTTTCTTTGACTTCCATGCAATGGGGCTGTTTCCAAGAAGTATTATGAAACCACTCACACTTCTTCTAGATTGAGGACATGAAGCCCAATCAGAATCACAGTAGGCTTGTAATGAATAATCATTGGACTTATTCATCAATAAACCTTGATTAGGATCATTTTTGATATATTTTAGAACATGTGTAGCAACATCAAGGTGTGGCTTTCTTGGATCAGACATAAATTGACTTAGATGTTGAACAGCGAAAGCCAAATCGGGTCTAGTGTGAACTAAAAAAATTAAGCTTGCCCACAAGTCTCCTGTAAAGTTCCGGTTCTTCCAAAACCGCCCCTTGTCCTAAAAATAGTTTGGAATTGGTTGGAAGAGGACAAGCAACACTTCCATTGCAATCGAATTCTTTCAAAATGTCATTTGCAAATTTCCTTTGTGTAAGAATCACCCCCAAATCTGAATATAACACTTCAATGCCAAGAAAAAAATTTAAACGACCAAGATCTTTAATTTTGAAGGTAGAATCAAGAAACTGTTTTAAACTTGTAATTTCTTCTTCATTGTTGCCCATCACCATAATGTCATCAACGTAAACAGCAACAAATGTAACATATTTGTCATCATGTTTGAAAAATAATGAATAATCATTCTTTGAATGCTGATATCCTTTAGTCTTTAAAGCAAATGTCAACTTTTCATACCATTGCCTAGATGCTTGTTTAAGACCATATAAGGATTTCTGTAAAAGACAAACTTGATGTGAATTAATAAGTTTTAAACCAGGAGGAGGTTTCATGTAAATTTCTTCATGCAATTCTCCATGAAGGAATGCATTATTCACATCTAGTTGATATAATGGCCATTCTTTCTTTACAGCGGTTGCAATTAATGCCCGGATTGTTGTCATTTTCACCACAGGAGAGAAAGTTTCATTGTAATCTATTCCAACTTTTTGAGTGAACCCTTTCACAACTAATCTTCCTTTATATCTTTCCACTTCCCCATTAGCCTTGTATTTAACCTTGTAAACCCATTTACAACTGATGGGCTTCTTTCCTTTAGGAAGATCAACTAAAGTCCAAGTGTTATTAGCTTCAAGTGCTTCAAGTTCCTTATTCATGGCTTCTTGCCATTCAGGGATGGATGCGGTTTCATCATAAGAAGATGGTTCTATGATCTTAGACATGTTGTGAAAAGATTGTTGACTCTGTTCAGATAAAGAATTGAAACACACATGTTTGGGCTGATGAGTGTGTGTGACAGTGTGTATACATGATGCAAAGTGAGGACAAAAATCATCTAAATTTGTAACAGATGCATTGTTACAAATGTAGTCCTTTAAATGGGCAGGGGTAATAGGAACTCGTTCAGATCTTCTAGGAACAAAGTTGTTGATTGAATTTTGAACTGGTAAAGGAGAAGAGGATGGATCAGGTGATGAACTGATACTATCTTCAAAAGGAGATAGACTTGGTTGTGGTGAAAACACAGGTGTAGAATGGTCATTGTGAAGTTGAAAAGGGAAAATATCTTCATGAAATACTACATCCCTGGAAATAACAATCTTCTTGGTTTCCAAATCATACAATTTGTAAGCTTTCTTTCCATATGGATAACCAATAAAAATACAAGGTATTGATCTTGGTTGTAGTTTATCCCTGTTATGTTGTAAAGTACTAGCATAGCATAAACATCCAAATGTTCTCAAATGGTCATAAAAAGGTTGAGTACCATAGAGAAGTGAGAATGGAGATTTACCATGAAGGATTTTCGAAGGGAATCTATTTATAAGAAAAGTAGCAGTTAAAACGCAATCTCCCCAAAATTTAAGGGGTAATTTAGACTGAAAAAGAAGAGCTCTGAAAAAGAAGAGTTCTAGCGGAATTAGAATTTTCAGGTACTGTTCCAGTCGGCGCCATTGAAGCAACAGATGAAGAAGACGAATTAAACAAATCTTAGTGAAAAAGATGAATCAAACTTTGAGCATGAATCAGATTCAGCTCTGATACCATGTTGATTTTGGTATAAACATGAATACGAAATGTAGAGAGAGAAAGAAGAAGAAGAGAGATGGAATCTATTTTCTTATTATTTCTCCGATAACTAACTGATTACATCTTACAAGTAAAGTGGAACCTTAATACAGGTTAATCACTAACAAATTTGATATAGAAACTTAACCAACTATCAATCACGTGATAAACACGTGAAGTTATTACCAACATACATGTCTCCTAATAAGACTTGAAGTTATAATTTCTCATTTGAGAGTGACTCGTTACCACTAAAATAACGTTGTACCTGTGTAATTCGAACCAAATTATTCAAAAATCATTTGTATGTTTTTGCATTTGCAATATTTGACTATGCAAAATTGCAAACTATCCCGATGTGCACCTATACTCTAAAATGTTATAACAAGAGAAATTAAATATACTCCTATGTATTTTTTAATTATCTTCGTATCTATTTGAAATTACGATAATATCCAGAAATATAATTAATTTTATCAAAATATAAAATATTTAATATAAAATATTTAATGCTCATTAACAAATTATTGATGGTATCATATGATATGAGTCCAGTCTTATTGGGCTCATCTGAATACCTAATCTTGGCCCATATTGATGATTACTATAGTCCCAAAAAAAAACCATAGTAGCGTTGAAACAGGCTTCAAAGTTCAAATTATCACCATCTTCTTGAATCTTGACCCCCAACAAGTACGCTCCGCTCTTCACAGCCATCTTCCGACCATGAAACTGCAGTCGCCACCGCCGTCTCCGTCTTCAAACACCATTATTCCAAAACCCGATGGACCCACCTCCCCACGCTCTTCCCTTCTGGTTTCGATCCCTCCCAATTTTCCCAAATCTCTATTCAACTCCATAACAATCCTCAGCGTACAAATCCAATGACCAAATGAACACCCCAAAATCCCCAATTTTTATCAAATACTCACAATGGTATCTAGGGCTCAACCATGGAAATCCCATATGCATAAATCTTCGGTTTCCTTTCAAACCCCAAATTGGGTGAAAAAAAACCCTAACTTGCGATCCGTAATCATCATTTACAGGTAATAACAACTTAGATACATCATTAATCAGAGGCAAACCATACGACAAATCGATTCCCACATGAAAGCCTACATTGAGATAAACCCTAAAATCAACTTCACCATTAGCGGACATCATAAAACAAGATGAAGGTATTACTTCAAAGATTTGTTCCACATGGTTCGAAGGATTGAAATCCCATGATAATTTGTATAATATATTGATATATCAATGTTGTATTTTCATTGTATAAATACGCTACACTTTTTAAAAACCAAAAATTACAAATGTACAAATTCTGGGTCCTATAGAAAAGGGAACTTCAAGTTCCATATCACAAAGATGGAAGAAGCCATAGATTGAATAAGGAAGAACCCATGGACAAGAACCATGCCAAGAAAGCAAAAATGGTGGAAAGCAAATATCTACTGCAGATATTCGAAGGGCAAAAAGACTCATCTGCCCTCATCAAGATATCCACCACACTCGCACCTGAAGAAGCTGCAGCTAGCGTAAGAGTCGATAACACCTGCTTCCAATTCATTAATCGAAACTCGAAACCATTAATACCTGTTTGTGATTACGAATTATAAAAAAATATATATTAAAAAAGAAGAGTTTTTTAATTTTTTACCCAATCTCCTATTACGATAATGACCAGAATACCCTTTTGTCGAACTGGGCATGTTACAAGAACAGAGTATCCATCAAGTAGTGCCAATGTGAAGCTCCATGGAATAACCAAACCCATAATCGTCACCAAGAAACTGATAAAGTCCCAAACTTTAGAAATTTTGCAAATTGATGAAAAATTGAAAACAAGGTAACGAATTTATAAATCGATGATCTTGAAATCGTTACCAGAAAGATGAATAGCTGTAGAATTGAACACCATACGCCATGAACAGAAGAGAAGCAGAGGAGAAGATCGTTTGACCCAATCTCAGAGCAAAACCCGCACTTGTTCCCATGGATCCTGGAACATCATCCATAGCCATCGGATCTTTCGAACATGAAATTTAAGGTTCATAGCTGCCTTTGAATCGTGATGTAGTTGTTAATCTCTGTAGATTGAAGATGATTCATGGGTTTCATGTGATCGATGAGGTCTGTTGTACGAATTCCGGATTGATTAGTTGTCGTTCTTGAAATCTTGTGGGTTTGAGAAAGACAGAGGCTCATCTATCGTTCGACAAGTGTTGTTTCTTGAAGAATTTGAGTTTGGTTTTTCAGGCAAAATGAAGAGATTTGAGAGTTTTGTGATTTTGAATGATTCTTTCTTTTTTGTCACGTAAATTTCTTTATTTTATTTTATGGGATATGAGTATTGAGGTATAAAAAGTGGCATCAAATGTGTCGGCGGGATCGTCTTTGATGAAGAAAACATATGTGGTTATGTACTTTTGATAATGGACCCCACGTATTTCTTTTCAAATCAACTTTAATTTGGATTTATTTTTTTCTTTTTAGTTCTCGAAATCATTTTGGAGGTATTAAGAAATTTAAGAGATAGAGATGACAAATTGATAATCATTTAGTTGGTTTAATTAAAAAACAATATTCATTAAAAACAACAATTTCTTGATTCTATTTGCCGTTAACTAAAAAGATAGCTTTTAATCGTATAACCTAATCTATCAATGTGTTATTTCTTATTAATAAAACTAACTTATAAGCTACCATAAAATATTATTATAATCTTACCATAAATCAGTTTATTTCTGTCAAAAAAAGACCTACAAGTCTCATTATCTATATAAAACAATCTAATTCTTTTAGTAAAACATAACTATGCATCACATGAAAAAATAATTGTGAATTAGAGGTGTAGATAAAGAACCGGTTAAATATTTAACCGTGAGACAAAAATTGAACCGGCTTTTAGAAACTGGTTATGTTAAAACCGAAGAACTATGTTGATATAGGTTTTAAAAAATTATAGGTTGGGTTGACATTTTTGGTTAAATTTTATCCACTTGATCTTATTTTTTGAATTTTAAAACTTATTTAGAATGTGTAAAGAAGATAAAAAAAAATTGAGAAAGTAAGATTTGGAAATACTTTGTACACAATTAGTTGGATGGATGGGTTTGAAGCATATGGATTTAAATTAAATATGAGAAAGACATACACCACCTTCTTAAAGGTAATGTTATATTAATGATATCCACCAAGAACATGAAAAGGATTATCGACCTAACTCACATTAAACCACAATAAAACAAATGTCTAACGGTCAACCATAGCCAAATGCTTGGTGGGCAGCCGGTTTTGGATACCACAAAGCTCAGCAACAGCAACCCTGATAATGACATATGACATGACCCCCTAAACTCAAGAAAATGAATAATTTAATAAGACCTTTTAATGGAATCGTGTTGAAATAATTTACTTAAAAAAATATATACTAAAGTTTCAATATTTTATCGATTTGATAAAAAAAATATAAATTTTATTTTTTTACAGTAAAATTGTAATTACTAACAAGTTTTAACACGTTTATCCTTTTTTTCTAGTAAACAAGTATTAGGATTTTACTGTAAAAAAAAATAAAGTTTAGGATTTTCTTGTCAAATCGTGAATCAAGATTTTACTGTCAAAAAAATAAAATTTATGATTTTCTTGTCAAATCGTTGAAAATATTAAAACTTTAGTGTATTTCCGTAATTCAAAAACTTTTAATCATGATTTTCGTCGCATCACTACTATTCTTCTTACCATCATCATATTTACTATGATGCAATCATGATCGGGGGGAAATAGATGAAAAAGAGAGCGAGAAAGGGTGAGAAGACTTGTAAAACTTTCTTCTTGATTTGCCACCAAATCTTGAACTGAAAAGTGAGAACAGATTGTACAAACACAAACAATGCACACCTAATCAAAAAGGGTGTGAATGTGAAGAAGGGATAAGAAGGGTAATTTTGTTTTTGTTTTTTTTTTTTTTTTTTTCAGTGTTTTATTTCTTCATTTTTAGGACTACAAAAAGTCAACACAACTCTAGTTCTTTCTTTCTTTCTTTCTTTCTTGATTATCTGCATTTTTTCAATGTCAGTTTGTTGAGATTAAACAAACTATTTAACAAGAAGTACACGTTAAGGATTTCAATAGAATCTAACTAACCATAGCATGTTTCAATAACTCTTATACTTAAAGACTATCATACCATTAAATTTCTAATAAAAAAATAGATATATATACTAAAGTCCCAATATTTTTGACGATCTGACAAGAAAGTCATAAGCTTTATTTTTTTTACAATAAACTCCTAATTCACGATTTGACAAAAAAAAGTCCTAAAATTTATTTTTTAACAAATAAAGTCCTAATTACTGACTAACTGGAAAAAATGGTAAACGTGTCAAAAACTGTCGGTAGTTAGAACTCTGTTGTCAAATCGATGAAAATATTGGAAGTTTAATGTATATATCCCAAATTATTATTTTAATGAATGCAGTTAATTTATTAGGATATGTTTACTTTTAGAGACTAAAGTTATTGTTACTGTTAGACTATTGCATTTATTAGGATATGTTTTACTTTCAAAGTTATTGTTAGTATTAGACCGAAGGGAATGGTTGTGGTGGTCAGTTCATGGCAAATACCGTGTCGGGTATATGGCCTAGGCCGAACTCGATATCAGTCCCCAATGATGACTCTCTCATGTTATAATATTACCCTGTGGCAGACATACTGCCCAGATACTTTAGTGAAAGATCGCAACAACTGCTACCCCACAGGGTTTACCTTCAAACTCAGAAACTGGAAACTCAATGGCGCTTCTGCTTCTCATAGGAACGGAGACAGTGTAACTCTTGCCACAGAAGATGACACATCATCTTTCAGTCGATTGCTCAACTCAGACCGCGATCCTCTAATAAGCATCATCTCTACTCATCCCCGAGTCCTGCAACTCCAACTGGCATCTCACCAAAAATCTCTCGGATACTAACTCGATTTCCCCCTCAAGGTATGCTCCAATGAGACTCGTTCAACATGGCCATCTGGCCATACACTCTATCACCTCTTATCTCAGACTAATCAATCACAACGGGATAACTGGTAAAACCAGAAGCACTGACCACCAAAAATCATGGTACTCGAACCATGTTATATCCTCCCAATCTACTATGAATCATGGTACCCGAACCATGTTACCTCCTCTCAGTCTGCTACTTAGAACTTCTGGAAGTCTCCGTGTTTCAAGTACGGGTCCCCTGCTTTCAGTAGTATGGGCCCATACTACATTCCACATCTACCCATACCTTTCACACGGAACGTCCTAGATTTCCTAAGTAGCTGCTCAACCTTCTCGATCACCAATCCCGTTAAACCTGGTCGCTCCCCAGCGAATACTCTAATCTATCAGTGTACTCACCAGACTAAGGTCACTCCCTAGGCTCTTCCTAGGTTCCCACACTTCTCTACCATCAGCTGCTGAAGAACTCCTTATGATGCCAGCCATCTACCTCCTGAATATCGTCATATTCTCTTAGTAGTTGACTCCCATCATCGAGAGTTCCACAAAGAACAAAGCAAGCAACATTCAGGCATCAAATAATATCCACTAGCATATAAAACCACTCTAGGTTACAACCCTATTTACTCTATTCACACTCAATAGGTGTCAGCGAACTCAAGCAACTCTTCCCCACGCGGGTATCTAACTACTCTCTCAGTAGGCTCCTCCAATGATCATCTAGGTATCTCTCCTAGATTACTCCTCTACTCAAAGCTCTATCTCTGAAATATTCCTGCTGGATACTCTTACTCCGCACATACTCAAAACACATGATAGATAGCAAAATTCCTAGGCTAAGGAATCACAAATCAGGCAATTGTATCCCAAAAATATGAAATACCTAGCCTATCTCCTAGCATGCATCACTAATATCTCAATAATAACTCATAACATAAATAAGTAAGGGTACTTTGGTAAATCACCGTTCGGGATCTGGCTGAGTGTACACACTGTTGCTTCTTGTTTTCTCTTAGAAACCTTGCTCGTTTTAGAAAAATCATTTCTTCTGAAATTTTTTTCTCAAATCCCCAGTTTGAGTCAATACATATCCGAAGGTGTATCTGAATCTCTCAAACCAAGGCTCTGATACCAACTTGTAACACCGTAAATTTTCAAATAAAATTTGCATTTAAGATCGCATATTCTCATAACACATTTCACAAAAATCTCATTTATTTAATTTACAAATCGTAAGTCCATAATTGTTTGATTAAAATCCAGGATCTTCATAACTCTTTCACTGGTGTATACAATCAAGTCGGTGCCTTCCCGCGATCCTGAGAAAAACCTGAAACAGATAACACATAACATGGTAAGCACGAAGCTTAGTGAGTTCCCCAAAATACCACACACTCAGATCATTAGCCACTCGAGGCTATATCACTGTAAGACCCTCCGGTCAATGTGTCTCAATAGGACCCTCCAGTCCTACGGTTCGTTGGACCCTCTGGTTCGGTCTGTAAAGCTCCGCATAGCATAAATCATAAAGATATAATGCACAACATAAAGCATAAGGTGGGATAACATAATACTCAATGTAAGCACATAAGACCGTCCGGTCACACATAAGTACCACTCTAGGTAAAGTATCGTGAGAAAACTCACCTTGCTAGCAGCAAGCAATTATCCTCAAACTCGAATCGCGAACTAGCCACTGCCTAACATATAGGGTAAACATCTCTAACTAATAATCGATTCTCGACTCTAAGTAACCAAATGTTATTCTTCTCTCTCAACTCTTGAATTGGGTAAAAGGCCATTTTACCCCTCCACGGTCTCCATTACTCATGTTGAACAAACCCCAAAGTCAACAAAAGTCAAAATCGAGTCTGTTGGGTATTTGGTGTTGCGTCTTGGGCTCGTCTCTTAGTCCATTTTGTATCCGGTATGGGCCTATCCATCCGTTACTTGTTTGTTAGGGTTTGTGTATTAATATATGCTTGCATGCATCTTTTCGAGAACTGATAGATCGTTTTTACGTGTGATTTAGAAGATATCTTTTGTAACCCTAAAATCCTCTATAGCGGAAGTTCTTAATCGAGCTCTGCTGAGGATTGAACGTTCTAATCATTCGACTCATTCAGATCCATACTTGAGTATTGTTTCATTGTTTTACGTTCATTGTTTACCTGTTATAAAGATCTAATCGATCAAAGAGTTTATAAATCTCATCAATTTGTATCAGAGCAGGAGGCTGTGTAATTCATACACATCTCTTCTGTGAAAGAAGTGATTAGGGTTTATTCCGTATTAACTGATATTTATTGAGCCGTCACTCCATAATTGACGTATCTCATTACTTATTTGTTTTGCCCTAATATTATATATTACTAGTCTGATCTTTGTAACATCCGGATTTTACCA